AAGCTATGTGTATTTGTATATCTTGGTGTGAATAGTTTTAAGCTATGCATATTTGAATATTTTGGTGTTACAGGTTTTGAGCCGCCTGTGTGGGTGCTGGGAACCAAACTCTGGCGCTCCCCATGAGGTGTTAGTGCCTCCAACCCCATCACAGCGTCTGGAGAGCAGATATGAGGTGACTTATTCATGCACTTCCTGTGTTTTGTCGTTTATAGAGGAGCTGAAGGCCCCCTTAGAAGAATATGTCCACAAACGCTACCCTGGGCTGGTGAAGGTGGTACGCAACCAAAAGAGAGAGGGCCTGATACGAGCACGAATCGAGGGCTGGAAGGCAGCCACTGGCCAGGTCACTGGCTTTTTCGATGCCCACGTGGAATTCACTGCTGGCTGGTAGGTGATGAGCCAAAACTTAGTGGGAGAGTGGGAGGTGGGAATTTTGCCCATTTCTCCCCCCCTGGGGTGACTGGAAGGATGGGGATGCTTGTGAGAAGGCCATTGGAGTAAAGTTGGAAAGCAAGAAAGTAAATCACTGGCTGGCTTCTAGACACTGTTATTGGTCTCACCAATGTATCCGTCACTTTTCTACTTGCTGCTTCAAAAAGTACCTGAAAAAAGCAACTTACAAAAGAAAGAAGTCAACTTTAGCTCGTACAGTCTATTGTGATGGGGAAGAGATGATGGTAGGAGCATGAGGCAGCTGGTCACATGGCATTCACAATCAGGAAGCAGAGAGAGACGAAGGCTGGTGCTCAGCTCACTTCCTACTTTCTCTCCATTTCAGCACCCCAGCCCGTGGACTGTGCCATCTGTATGCAGGGTAGGCCTTCCCACTTCAGTTAACCCGTCTAGAAGCTATGTCACAGATGTGCCCCCACAGACATCTGGTTTGTCACTGACAAGGTGACAATCACGCTTAACCATCACATTCATTGTGGTGGTTAATAAGTTCAAGGCCAGCCTTCGACACGAGTCCTTGTCTCAAAAAATAAGTCATTTCTCTAAAACGGCAACAATGGGCGGGACTACGCAATCTAAGCGATGTGGCTAAGCGAGGCAGGGGAGGCAGGCCAGGAAGCAGATAGCCCAAGGTGAATTGGCTGTGGACCTTCAATATTTCAACTCTCCACAATCACACGCAAGGGAGCATACAATTTCTTGCAGAAATTGGTTCTCCTCTTCTACCATGTGGGCCCCAGTGATTGAACTCATGTAGTTAGGCCTGGTGGCAGGTGCCTTTACTCACTGAGCCATCCCACCAGCTTAATCATTGGAAATCCTAAACAACCAATCAGACTTACAGACTCTCCCAACATAGGTGAGAACTTCAGTTCACACTTCAGAGAGCTCTCCAAGTTTCTCCTCAGCTGTGACACTGTTACTTGGGTGAACATCCCTTTGACAAAGCATGTTGTCACATGTTGAAGCCCCACCCCACCCCCAAGATCACCAGGTGAGTAGAGGAAACACAGTAGGTCACATGACCACAGACACCCCACTGTGGAGTTGGGGAGTGGGAAAATGAGAAAAGGTCATAGAGAGGGGACAGGGCTCCTGCCTGGGCTGTAGAATCATTCTTCGAAGGCGATGGGGAGATGGCTCGGCTGAGAAAGTCTTTGCTGTGTAAACTGAAGGGCGGGCGCACATCCAGATCTCCAGCACCAAAGCCATGGAGAACCCCGCCCGAGTGTGCCTGTAACCCAGGGCTGTGATGCGTGGAGACAAGAGGCTCACCGAGGCTCATCTCATTGGTCCACTGAGAGACTCTGTCTTGAGTCAATAAGGTGGAAAATTACTGAGCAGGACATCTGAGATCCTCCTCTAGGCTCCACACGCATGCACAGGCAGGCACATCTGCACACAGGTGTGCGCATTCAGCACACTCGCAGAGAAAGAACACAGTGTAATGGCCTGCATGTGTGGAAATACAATAATGAAACCCGTGACTTCGAAGGCCAACTTCAAATACTGATTTTTTTTTTTTCAATTAAAAGAGCAAAGCAGGACCTGGGGAAATGTTTGGATGGTTAGATTCCTGGTATGCAAGCGTGAGTACCTGAGTCCTCATCCCCAGCACCCACATGAAATGCTCACGTAAGTGGTGAGCACCCATAACCCCAGCACTGGGGAGGAGGAGGCAGGAGGATCTTGTGGCTGTCTGCCATCAAGGCCAGTGGAATCCTCTAATTCTGAGTTGAGGGAGGAACGTTGCCTCAAAAACTAAGGTGGAAGGCGTGGAGAGGTGGCTTGGTAGTTAAGAGGGCCTGCTGCTTTTTCAGGGGACTCTAGTTCAAATCCCAGCACAAACATCAGGAGGCTCAAAACCAACCGCCTATAAGCCCAGTTCCAGGAGGACACAATCACACACGCAGACATATACACATGTCCATAAATAAAAATCAATCTTAAAAAAAGATAAAGTAGGTGCCTGCGCTTTTGAGGTTGACACCTGACATTGACCTTTGGCTTTCACATATGTGAGCACACACACATGCACTCAAACATGTATGCTTTCACACATGTGAACATGTACACACACAAAAAATACAGTACACGCATACAACACCTAATTTAAAAAAAAGTAGAACTATATTTTAAAAGAGCAGAAAAAGTTGGCCTCCTAACTGGGGAGGAGTAGGAATGGCTTCTCGGAACAGGTACCATTAGAGCAAAGCTTCTTGGTAGCTCTGCTTCCTGCTGGCTGCCAAAGAGAGTCCCTCCAGCGAAGGCATGAGGGACAAAGCCTTAGAAGCCGAGGAGAATAAGTTCCCTCTGGCTTCCACCTCTGCCATGTGTGTAAAACTATCAGAGGCCCGGGGTATGTTTTATTGCTCATTTTAAGCAGGAGGATGAGCTGAGCCAACAGGTAATTCAATAGCTGCAAATGAGAAGAGATTGCTGCAGGCTGTAAGTTCTCATTATTCTCCCGAAGAGCACAGAGAAATGGGATTTTCCACTTGACTCTTTCCCAAGCCCACTCTCTGGTCTGAGCTGCAAGGTTAATGTCTCAGCTTACGTGAGCCATCTTTAGCTCACGGAATGTGGAAAGTGATTCCTTCCTTGGTCCGGCCTCACAGACACATAGTGGCTTGACCATCTGCTTTGGGCTAAGCTAGCCAGCTAACACCTTGAAGCCAGAGCCAGTGCATGCTGGCTGCAGTCTTGAGAGAGGAGGCACAGCCAGAGTCAAGATTTGCCCGACTTTGGATTTAATTAGTTCCAAGCCTTCCACTGCAGGCCAACCAGATCTTTTTAAGCAATCAATTAGATAATCAATTAAAACAACAAAAATAGTCGCACCCACACAAAGAAACTAATGAAGCTGCTTATTAAATCTAGCACAGGAATGACCTATTTGGGGATATCAGAAAGAAAGAAAAAAAAAAGAAGGAAAGAAAAAACCATCAGCAACAAGAGGTGGCAGACAGTGCTCGGAGGAGAAACTGTGTAGAACTGTCAATCATACACAGATGGAAACAGTGTGTATAATAAAAAGACTTGGAGGGGTGGCCCAGCATAGATGACTTTTACAGAGGACCTGAGCTTGGTTCCCGGAATCCATACCAGCTGGCTCATCACCATCCGGAACTCCAGCTCTGGGGAAATGGAAACCCTCTTCTGCCCTCAGAGGGCACTGCGCTCACATGCACACATCTATACCTGGACATGTACAGAGTGTCCATGGATGTGGGTCCTGGTGCTGGTCGAGTGCTTTTCTAACACACACAGCATCCTAGGTTCTGTCCTCAGTACCATGTCTGATGTACGTCTCTAAGCCCAGCACTTAGCAGATATAGGGGGCTGGGCGAGGGGGTGGAGATGGAATTGGCAGTTTTAGGATAACCTGGACTGCACAGGAGTTCTGGGCCAGCCTGGGCAACTGAACAGAAGAGTCTTTAAAAGTACAACTGGACTAGGGGTGTAGTTTGCCCGGTAGGGTGATGACCTAACATGCAGGAGGGCCCGGAGAAGACCCACAGCCTCGCAGAAACCGACTGTGGTTGTGCATGCTTTTCATCCCAGTACCAGGGGAGTGGCGACAGGAGGATCAGGAGTTCAGGGTCCTCCTCGTGGTCTGCATAGCAAGCTTAAGGCTAGGCTGGGATATGCGAGAGACCGTCTCAAAACAGAGCAGAAAAACAAAACAAAACAAAACATAAAACCTATATGGAGGGGCTGGAGAGATGGCTTAGAGGTTAAGAACACTGCTTGCTCCTCCCGAGGTCCTGAGTTCAAGTCCCAGCAACCACATGGTGGCTCACAACCATCTATAGAGATCTGGTGCCTTCTTCTGGTGTTCAAGTGTACATGCAAATAGAACATATATACATAATAAAATAAATCTTTAAACAGACAAACAAACAAAAAACCTATATGGAGCCTGGTGTGGTAGCACATGCCAGTAATCCCAGCACTGGAGAAAGCAGAAGCAGGTGGATCTCTGTGAATTCCAGGCCAGCCTGGGATACAAAGTGAGTCCAGAACAGTCAGGGCTACACAGAGAAACCCTGTCTCGAAAAACACAACAAAACAGAACAAAACAAACAAAAAACCTACATGGAGCTGGGTGTGGTGCCGCACACTTTAATTCCAATGCTCAGGGAGGCAGAAGCAGAGTTAGATGGATTTCTCTACGAGTTCGAGGCCAGCCTGGTCTACAAAGTGAGTCCAGGACAGCCAAAGCTACACAGAGAAACCCTGTCTTGAAACAACAAACAAACAAAAACCTGCATGGCGGTCTCAATGCCTTCTGATGCCTGTTTCCTTCTATGTTCCGGCCTTTGAATTATCTTCATTTGGGGATGGTTTTGGAAGACTGCTGGCTGATGCACGTACCAGGAGGGAGATGATTTGATTATAAATTCTCTGCTTTGCAGGGCTGAGCCTGTTCTGTCCCGCATCCAGGAGAACCGGAAGCGGGTCATCCTCCCCTCCATCGACAACATCAAACAGGACAACTTCGAAGTGCAGCGCTACGAGAACTCCGCCCACGGGTACAGCTGGGAGCTGTGGTGCATGTACATCAGCCCCCCAAAAGACTGGTGGGATGCCGGAGACCCCTCCCTCCCCATCAGGTCTGTGACAAGCAAGCTCTGGTGGGGCTGGTAAAATCCCCTGGACAACGGGACCCCAGACCTAAGGGTTAACATACGCCCCGCGCCGCTGCAGAGAAGGGCTGGATGAAACTGGCAAAGGCTGGGGCGGCGGCTTACAAGCAGCTCCTGGGAGAGTGGAGGTGTCTTAGGATCATAATTCCTTGCTGAGGGAGACAATTGCACTTTATTGCCTCGGCTCCAGTTCTTAGGTGCCGCTTTCATATGGCTGTGATGAAAGTCTAAGAATCGGCAATAATAGTTTTTCATCCTTCTTTGGGTGTTACATAGCTTCACATTCTATGATCTTAGCTACCCTTGGTCTGAAAACACTAAATAATCGCAACCTCTCCACTCAACATCTGTAGTATAATCACATCTGCAAAGATTTTTCCTACAATGTCATATTCACAGGTTCTAGAGATTGGAGTATGGCATGGGGTAGGGGCCAGCATCATTCTACCTAGCACCAAACTGACTTTTAACTTTTAATTTTATTTATTATTGTTACTGGGGAGGTGTACTTGTGCCACGGCACACATGTGGAGATCAGAGGATACCTTTGTGAAGTCAGTTTTCTCTTTTCACCTTTATGTGGGTTCTGGGCATCGAAGTTAGGGTGTCAGGCTGACACAGCAAGGACCTGCACTTCTGGACTACTTTGTCAGTCCCAAATTGACTGACTGTGTGCATGTGCGTGTTCGTATACGTGTGTGTGTGTGACATCATTCCCCAAGAACCTTCATTTGAGACAGTGGCTCTGCTCTCACTGGCATGGAACTTTGCCACGTATGCCAGGCTAGCTGGCCAGTGAGCTTCCAGAAGTACTGTGTGTCTCCCATCTCATCATTGCTAGGATTACTAACAACATGCTAATGTGCCGGGCTTTTATGTGGCCTCTCGGGATCAAACTGAGACCAGGACTCATGTGAGATGAGTACTTTACTAACCAAGCCATCTTCCCAGCACCCAGCTCTTTAAATAGTATTAATTCTGTCTTGCATCATTAGAGGTGAGAAGGGTGGCTTCTCCCAGCTTGACTTTAGGGAAACTTTTCCTGAACCAAGCAGGAAAGCAAGGGGGAACCACAGAACAGGAGTAAGGACTTTCTACAGGAGGGTGTAGGTTCTGTCTTGGTGTCCAAACTTGTGATAAACAAAATGTGGTTTTTTTTTTTGTTTTGTTTTTTTAATTCCTATGACAGGTATTTGAGAAAAACAACTTAAGGTGAACAAGATGTCTCACTCTGTAGCTCTGGTTTTCCTGAAACACACTCTGTATCTGTAGACCAGGCTAGCCTCAAACTCGCAGAGATCCATCTGCCTCTGCCTCCCACGTGCTGGGATTATAGGCGCGTGTCATGATGCCTGGCTGGAAAACAAGATTTATTTTAACTCAGTTTCAGAGTGAGTCCATTGAGGTAGGAAAAGCATGGTAGCTCGCATCATAGAACCAGAAGCAGAAAGAGAGAGAGAGAGAGAGAGAGAATGCCAGTTCCAGCTGCCTTCTCCTTTCCTTCTTTTTATTTCAACCCGGTGCCCAGGCTTGTGCGATGCTGCTGCCTGCATTTGAGGTACCTCTTCCCCTTTATCGGTTCTCTCTGGAATGTCTTCACAGACACATTCAGAGATGTGCTTGAATAATCTCCTGGGTGTCTCTCAATCCAGTTAAGTCGGCAGCCAAGAGTAACCACCTACTCTGGTTAGCTTTAACTGTCTGCCAGCCTAACACAGCCTGAAGCCTTCTAAGAAGAGAGTCTCAGTTGAGGGATTGCCCAGAGCAGATTGGCTATGGACATATCTGTGGGAGATTGTCTTGATTGTTTGGAGGGGGACCCAGCCCACTGTGGGCAGCACCATTCCCTGAACAAGCAGTCCTGGAGTGCACAGGTAGGATAACAAAGCTTGGGCTGGTGAAAAAGCAGTGAAGCAGCATTCTCTAAGGCTTCTGCTTCAGGTTGCTTCCTGAGTACCTGCCTAACTTCCCTCAGTGGGGAACTGTGACCTGGAAGTGTGAGCCAAATAAACCCTTTACTTTCCTAATTTCCTAATGGAATATTTTATCACAGACAGACACATGCACACACACAAAGAGGAACATCATCACACTGGAGAAAAGTTTTGAGAAGTCTTCTGATTTTCCTTCTCAAACTAAAAGCTGAAAAGTTGCCTGAGAGTAGAACAAAAATGATGAACACATTCAAAAACTAAAGAAGGTAGAGCTGGAGTGCCATCTCAAAGGAAACAATGTTGCAGCCTCATTCAACTCTTCCTACAGCACCAGGAAGGATTCCTCTGCTGTCTCCAGGCCTTAGTGTAGACTCATCACTTAGGTGTTATCTGAGAGCCAAGGGATATTTAAACTTTAATAGCGAGCTTGTGAAGACCCAATGACTTTCAGAACTTAAAAGACACTAAGTTTCACATTTTATTCACATGATCCTTTCTCCCTGGTATCCTTCTGAGGCAGAGAGGCTGGTCTCCAGCTGTGACTGAAAGAGTGGGAGTGACAATGGGGCAGGGGTTGAACTGGTAACAGTGTGGAACTTCGATGGCCAAGTACCTTTGTGTGTGTGATTGTGGAACAGGACTCCTGCTAGCCCTTCCCTGGGTCATTCCAGGCAAGTGTTTTCCCTCTCAGGCATGCCCTGTCTCTTGCTGTAAGATTCTAGGCAAGTGCTTCTCCTGAGCCATGCCCCCGGCTCCTCCTCGATGGGGGATTCTCAGGGGAGCTCTACTGAGGATTCTAGTCAGGCTCTCTCACACGGACATTTGCTCTGCCTCTGAGCCACACCTTCAGTCCCTCAGTGAAGGGGTCTAAGCAAAAGCACCACTATATCCTTAGCCCAGGTAGAATGGCCAACAGACATTGGCCAGTCTGAGCAGGAAGACTCTGGGTGAAACAATGGCTTGTACCTCGAAAGTCACTGTCACATTACCAGATGATTAATATGCACATTAAAGGCTCAGGAACACAGAGTTGCGATCCTGAGCCATTAATATTACATGAATCTCTGATGTACAAAACGGAAGACTGCACCAGTGGTCTCCTCATCATTGTACATCTTTACTTACCAGACACTTAATTTGTTAATGGTTGATGGGGAGATTTAATTGTCGGAAAGGAGTTTTATGGGCCTTCTGATATTATTAAGCTGATATAATGTGCTTTCTTAATCATGAGGACATGGTAATTTCTCCTCCATCCAGTGATGCCAAGACATTAGTGGTTATGACTATGCTCCGTTGAAGGGTACAGAGAGCCTGTTGTAGTCCAATGGGTGAAGCTTTGGACACTAGATTTCCCTGTAGGGAACATACTATAAGAAGTTTCTCGCCGCAGGCTGGAGAGTGCTTGCTGCTGTAGCAGAGGGCCTGGGAACAGTTCCCAGAATCCATGTTTGGCAGCATACAACCACTTGTAACCCCAGCTTCAGGAAATCCAGTGCCCTCTTCTGGCCTCCATGGACACTGCACTCATGTGCATAGACCATAGGCACCCATACATATTTGTAAATAAAGACAAAAAATTTACAGTTCTGCTTTAAGGGAATAGTCTGTTTCTTTCTCTAGTTCTGGTGTTGAGTGCTGGAGCTAGGGTTTCATGAACACTGAGCTTCATCACAGCCCTTTCGCTTTATATTCTTACTTTTTATTTGTGGGCAGGGTCTTTTCGAGTTGCATATGAGATCAGGTCTCATAAATAGTTAGAGAAAAGAATGAGGGCTGGGAAGATGGGCTCAGTCGATAAAGTACCCGCCACACTAGTGTGAAGACCTGACGGTGATCTCAGCAGCCATGTAAGAAAAAAAGCCTGGAGTGGGCCTGTAATCCCAGTTCTGGGAAGGAGAATGTAGGTGGATTCCTGGGCTCAGTGGCCAGGCATAAAATATGAGCCCCATGTTCGTGAAAGACCCTGTCTCAAAACACAAGGCGGCTGGTATCATGAAGGACACCTGAGATTGACCTCTACATGCATGAGCACACACATAGATATGCACCTGCCCACCACACACACACACACACACACACACACACACACACACACACAGAGGAATGCAATTCTTTTGAAGGAATTAAATCCTATTTGTCTTAACGTTATGCGCATGTGTGTGGAAGATCAGCCAAGATGGGAGAGGAGGGGAGCGTGTATCCACCCTTGAGGGTGCTAGAAGCGTGAATTTACAGATGCCTGGCTTAGTCTAGCAGCTGAGTGCCAGAGTTCTCAGCTTTGCAGCTGCTGATCGGAGCATCTCTTTCCAGCTGTGAGACCCTTAGACTCTCCCCGGGAGAGGACCAGGGGCATGAGGTGGTGTTGTGATGTCTGGAGGGAGGATTTCACTGCACCTCGCTTCTGGAGCCCAGTCTGAACAGTGTGCCAGGCATCTCCTGTGAGCTGACAGTGGGACCTCCCTGTTCTGTGTTAGGTGACCTTGTAATTAGTGACACTGCTCGCTAATAACCAATTCAGGATGATGAGCAACAATTAGCAATCCTTAATCCAACATATAATTTGATGATAAATTATAAGGTGCGGGAGTGGCAGAGCCTGTGAGAGTCATTTAGTTGAAAGAATTTCCCTGGATGTGCATAGCTGCTGAGATTTCACATTCTGCGCTGAGATAAACGTAAGGGGAGAAGGCTACTTTTCCCTCCCGAGGGGAACGTGACACGCTTACACAAGAGGAAGGCTTTAAGTGACAAAACAGACTTTCTTTCTCTTTTAAGGCTTTAAAATAGACATATTTTCCTATATATCAGCATATATATTTTAGGCATTAACTATGCTCGGCTTTATAATAGGCACTTCCACGGGGACAGTTCTGGTTAAATGATCTGATTCTTATCCTGAGGGAGTTTGCAGGCTGAGCTGGGGAGATGGTTCAGTGGGGAAAGTGCTGGCGGTGCAAGCATGAAGACTCAGTCTCATCCACAGGACACTGAAAAGACCTGGCCTGGTGGTGTGGCCTTACAACGCAGAGC